ATGTATCATAAATACCTGTAGAAATATTTTGGGAGCTACCTTGAAAGATCCGTCTGTAAACCAGTGCGGATATTGCTCCAAAAATTGCAAATTTGCTGCAGTGCCGAACATGAACATTCTATTTGTGTCTTGGTCACCCGAATTTCACAGAAGAAAATTTTCACTTTTTTGCCTCTTTCGTTTCCATACGACGGCAAAAGATGGGCTGCTTCCAAGGAATTCCTGCTGTGCTGTTCACAATAATTTGGCGAGGTTTTTCCACACCATTTTCAGCTCTTGCGCTTATAGTCACTTTTATTTTTTCACTTTCATTTTTGCGATATCTGGAGCATGTGTTCAGTATTTGTTCAGTACTTGTTTGCAACGTCCCGTCTGTTTTCTTCTTAAGTCTGCCGGCATACTTTCTTTTAATGCTCCTCCACGAAGACGATCCATCTTGATTTAACTTATCGCGTCGATATCGATATCCTTCATACAGCAGTTGTTGTTTTCCTTTCTGTGATAATATCCATGGCTTCAGTATAACTAAAACGTATTATTCAACTGGTGTGTCCTGACGGCATTATAACGTACGTATACGCGTCCCAATATGTTAAAGGCCCAGCACACTCAAAGGGCTGTCTATAGTTTTTTCATGACGCGATTTTGTCGGCGCGCTATTGTCAAAAATCATTTGGTGATTTTGACGGCGCTCATTGGGCCATTGCGGTTATGTCGGTGAACTAAATTTCTCCACCGTCTCCACTGCCTCTCAGTTAGTCTGAATAGAGGGAGAAAGCATTAGGCTTTTCGTTTTAGATGCGTTCACACGCATGCCGATCACGCCGCATTAGGCTGCGAACCTTTCCAGGAAGCACTGTAAACCGGTTGCAGAAGATGCCAATAAAACAAGGTCGTGTGCAGACACAACATTCTCGTCTCCACATCTTCTACAGCGATAGCCTTCGTTGCTCCTGACTATTCTATCCATGTACTACACATGCAGTAGAAGAAACAGGACTGAGCCTTGGCGGAGAGTAGTGCGAACGTTGAAAGGCTTCGACTTAATGTCATTTACTCGGACAGAGCACCTGCTACCAGAATGCAATGATTGCATGGCACGTCACAGCTGGTCATCTATCCCATATGCTCGCAGGCATGACCACAGACTATTGCGCCGGATTCGGTCATAGGCTATTTCAAGGTCAATATAAGACATGTACACCGGATAGGTGTACTCCCATGATTTCTCAACAATCAAGGTTTCCAGATCCTTGGCGAAAGTCCAATTATGCCGAATTTGTACTTTACGGTCTCATCAACTAGCTCCTGTTCTTTTCTATTACTTAATGGGTATGTTCCAATTTCCGACTTTAAGATCCTCTGGTGGTGTCGTTCTCCGGGAGACTGTTCTGAGTGCTATAATGGCGTCGCGCTGTTTCTCTCCTCAGCTCATAACGGTTAGCGACTCATTACTGACTGATATGTTCGTAGTCGTTCCGTCGAACTTCAGCGTAGCCCGGCTGGCAGAGGGCGATGAGCAGGTTCTGGTCGCCGACTTCATGCAGTCTTAATCAGTCCCCAACTGCCTGCGCTGCCCTTAGTAACCCGGGCGACGACCGAGCCGGTATAATTTTCAATGGTGTCAATACTATGAAGGGCAGGTGGCAAAATTTTTTGAAGACTTCGTCACGGTCTTCAACCCCCTACCTTTCTCAACCGTGGGGAACCGTCAACAACGGAGTCATATTCTAATTCCTCAAATTTAAATGATTGGTGTCCTCTTCACCAGCATGCCCAGAAAGGATTATAGAGCGGTTATCTTCAACTTCGGTAGTTAAGCGTATTCAGCCATTTTATCTTGTCCATCCACGTAATTCAGGACGCAATCCAACCTTTTCAGTACGTTGGAATAATGGGAATGTCAACGAATCGGCATAAACAGTGGTCGGATTTCAAGGAGGGATTCATTAACGGCTTGGTTTCAAATTCGTGAGCAATATCTACCATCAGATCTATACAGTTCCGATAAGCTCCTCAATGAGTACTGTTTTAGCCGATTTTTATATGGACCATGCGGTGGCAAACATCCTCAATAAATGTCCGCCAGAAATACGACCACTGTTCCATGTGATTCGTTGATGACATTTTCCGTTTATTCCAACGAAATGAGGGCGAACTATAAAAAGGTTGGAATGCTACGTGAATTACATGAATGGAAAAAAATTATGACCGAATACGCTTTACTACTGAAGTGGAAATTAACCACTCTATATCCTTTCCTGTCATGGTGGTGAAGAGGACGTCCACTATCCTCCGCTGCACTCAATGCGAAAACGGGTTACACGCAGATAACCTGCCAACGGCAGAAGAGACAGTTTGGTGCTGCGGTAAACCAGGGTGTACATATCGAGCTGTTTCACATGCGTGCTCAACAACAGATTTGTCTTGAATCTGCTCCAGAAAACTCATCACAAAGTGATGGTGAAAAAATGCCCAACCCAAAATGCTTTGCAACGTTGGTTACGTCATTTTCTTTGAAACTCTGGATTTTTCACGAACTTATTGAAAAGGTTCTATAAGCTGGTATAACTTTCGCTCTTTCTGCCGATAATAGAATTCATGAATGATTTCATTCAAACAGCAATTTTTCTTCAAGCCCTAAACTATTACAGATGAGAGGTCTTTAAAAAACTTAAATCACAAAAATTTACTGCGCTGTAATCTTGAGAAAATTCTAAATCAGCAAGATACATCATTCTTCGTACCGGTTCCCAGCTTCTAGCTACTAACGAAACTCTTTGATCACGCCACTTTAACACAGCACCGGTGACGCATATGTTAAGAGCATCACCCACCAAGTGGAGCAACTCCTCGCTATAAGTACATTGCAACGGTGGCAATGAACACAATTTCAGCTTCAAAATGATTAAACAAAAATTTGAGCTTTTCAGATAAGTTTTTTTTCCACTTGTGTCATGAAATTTGACATGATCCATTATGAGAGCAGCATGAAAATTACACAGGCCATTTGTGCATAAACGAACTGTAACTCATTGTTATGGCTACGAGGGCCAAAGGTTTGCGAAACAGAATTAAGTTCGAAAGCAACAACTAGATTTTACTATGAAAAGAATGAAGTAAAAAAATCAATCATTCCACTTTCCAAGGATATCGCTTTCTCTGAATATGAAATATTCCTAAAAGATAAAAACTAGAATTGCAACAGAACTAGTTAACTTTTACTTTGGATTCTACTGCAATTTTCGTACCACCGTATTCAGGTAAAAGCACTCTGTCTCCAGGCTTAATAGTCATTGGCAATCTCTTCCCTGACTAAAAATTAAACAAAGATGTGAGATTCAGCCGTAAATGGAGTAACTTAAAAATAATTTACTTCGTCTCGAGCTCCTTCACCGGTCGCCACCACGGTAGCTTCAAGCACTTTTCCCTGCGATTTTTCCGGAAGCATTATTCCGCCTTTCGTCTTAGTTTCGGGAGCAAACTTCTCAACAAGAACTCTGTCAAACAGAGGAACGAACGTCTTCAACAAATCAGTTGTCTAAAAGTGAATCAAACTAAATAACGAAATAACAAATAATTGTGAATAAACTTAAAAAATATGTTATGTCAAACAACTATATTGCAGAATCAGGAAAAGTCGTTCTTTGCTTCAATCTACCAGAAGGATATTAAAGGTTATTACTCTTGGAATCTTTGAAACCACTGAAACTTAAAGACAAAAAGGATGTAGTACATATTTAGAAGAAGGCAAGATTTAATGTTTGATATCAAATAAAAGCAGACGAAAATCATCAGAAGCAAGCTACAACGAAACAAAATTTAGTCATAACCTTTCCAACTATTAATTAGATATCGCTGTAACAGCAGTTTTGTTCAACGTTGAATAAGCTATAATTAGATAATTAAATAGTTATAATTATATATAATATTATAATCATATA